TCTAAAACAACATTTTACTGACTTGCTGTTTTGTTTTTGTGAGCTTGGATGTCAGGTTTGTGGCAGGGCGGGCAGGTTAGTTGCTGCTCTGATGATGTCCATATAAAGTTAATTCACACCTGTTGCCCACCCATCACAGCATCTAGAGAACTCTGTCCAAATCCACCCAAGAGAAGCAAACACTTACTGAAGTGCCCCATGTTGTGTCTCTGCACAAGGCTAAAGTAATGTCTGTTTGTGCCACAGCTGTGGCTTTATTTGTGGAGTGCCAACTTGGCACCACTCACTGAAGAAATCCCAACTCCTCCTCATCAGCAGCTACTCCAGAGACTGTCTGGATGTATGCTGCGCTGCCAGGCTGCCGGGCATACATTACCAAGACTGGTCCATCTTATTATTCTAAGACAAAAGAAAATCTTTTGGCCACTAAGCATTTATGATAACATGCTTAAGGGCACAATGAAAGAGACTCTAAGTTGGCATCCAACAAACTATTAAGTCCAACAGGATGAGCCTCCATTTATTTCAGTTGCAAAAAATGTTTAAGAAGTGAAACTTTATTGTTTGTTAAAGCAGCATCTTTTTTTGCCACTTGGGGGTTGTAGATGGATTCATATAAACACATTTATTAATTGTTATGGTACTCAATGTTAGCAAACAGTTGCCTATTTACACACCCAACACACAGAACAACATTACCATTCATTTGGAGTTTGTGTTTTTGGCTACCTGGCAAAGTCCAATATTCATTTTAGTTTGTTTTGTTGGCCACCCAGTCCTGAGGGACAAATCTGGCATTTTAGCTCCTAAAGGCTCCATTATGTGTTTCTTAAAACGATATTGATGAGAGCGGTGTTTGTGGGCTGGAAAACCAAAACGGTGAGCTGAAAGACGCTAAAACGCTCCATAGAGCTGAGGGTTACAATTACAGTTAATTCTCCACGGGTTTGTTACTAAGAGTGACCTGTTTCACGTTACCCTTAGTTATCTGATTCATTATTAATGTACAAAATTGATTGGAGCAGCTTTAAATATTGTTTAGTTTCACATGTATTAGTCTGGCAGCCAAACTAACATGATCAGTTGAAGAAGTAGTTAAATAGGCCTAATTTAAATGAAGCACATGTCTTTGTGATTTGTTTTGTAACTTGGAAAACAAGTCTCTGATCTAATTTTCTATGTTTGCTCTCAAAGGCTCTCTATCTCCTGGGCACCCGTTTACTTCAGGAGACACACATTCACACCTGCCCTCCCCACCTTCCCAGAGCTATTTTTGTCCACTTTGTAGCTCTTGCAGGACTAAGAATAGAAAGTGATGAATGAAACTTGTGTATACAATACTAAATGTGCCATGTCTTTGTTGTTCACAAGTGAACATCTTTCTGTGTGTTAGTTACCCCAAAACACTAATTCAACCACTTAATAAGCTTCAACATGAGAGAGATGTTTCTTAATTGTACAAGCTGCTATTCTGAAATGATTTTCTGCTTGCCATTAAAGGAGCATTTGAGGCCAATTTGAGGGTGAATGATAACATAGAAAGACATACGTAGCTGTACGGCTATAATTGAACAAGAATCCCGAAGCTCTTGGCCAGTAAATGAATCAAAACCCAGTTACATTTGTCCTGTGTTATCGGCAACACGTTTTTATTGTGCGTCAATGTCTCTCATCCTGTTTGCACCGCTCACAATTGTTTGAACAACAATAACAACAAACAATTTTCATGCTGTGTTTAGGAAACTAATTACGGAACCTCGGGTTGTTCCGGTAAAAGGCAGGGACAACTTTAGCTATTCATAGCCTTCCTCTTCTGAGCTCACAGCAATGAACTGGCAGTCCCAAGGGGGGGGGGGGCTGTGCAATCTGAGATAGGTCTAATGCTTCCCACCACCGCACCAGGACCATACAGCAAAGACGAGGAGAAGTCTTACAACGGGACCAGTGACTTTTTCTTCAAGGTCAAAGCAATTGGTTTTCACTGAGACAGATAAAGTATGTGAGCCTCCCAAAGATATTCTCTCATGGCGTATAGTATGTAGTGCATTGAGGAGATTTGGAACTGCAGTCTACATAGCTGATCCTTAATTTGTCACAGTTAAGATTAGCTGGAGACCTCATGTGGGTATTTTAAAAGGCCCATTGGCACCTTTTTAAAGCCATATTAGCCAAGATTATGTTCAATTCTACAGACAAAAATATCATCTTCTGACCAGTAGTGAACCTCTGACCTCATATGCCTGATTATAAGTACGATGTGAATCAAGAAAATAAAAACTGAAAACCAGAAAGAATTGTTAACTAATTAAGGATTAGACTAAAAAATCTGGAACATCAATGTGAAATTGATCCTCTCTGTTGTTCTGTTTGGAAATTATACATTTATGTGATGGCAGGACCATCATATGACAGAAGGGGGAAGTGTGTGTTTAATTATAGGGATATTTTAACTTCCTTTATGGTACACAGTAGTTGATAATACATTTTATGACTTGCGGAATATCTGTTATTTATTTGGACTTAGAAAACTTGCAAATCTATGCAAAGTTTTTGCCCTCTCATAAAGACTCTCCACTCTAGTACTCATTTCTTACATCTTGTCTTAAAGCTTCACATGTATTTGGTGAAAGTCATTGATACTACAAAGCCTTGAGGCTGGAGCTACTTTGCATGCTACCTACTCAGCCCACTACCACTTGGATCTGACAAATCCATGACTCACACATCCCACTTACCTTTATTTACATAAGCCTTTCTTGCCACTTAAATGTTGAGTCAGTAGAATAAAAACTGTGTATTTTGATTTGCGTTTGAGTGCTTTAAGGTGTGTGTGTTTGAGCTTGTGTCAAAATTCAAAGATTAAGATGTTACTAAAGACAAAAGCATAGAGGATACAATGCCTACACAGAGTTGTATATCCTACTTCTTATTTTTGATGATCTGAAAAGAGTCAGTGGACTTTTTACTCTGACGCATACAGCATTTGTCCTCCAGAGCCAGTTTTTGTTTAGAAACACTTGCTAGGGAACGCTTAGCACTTGCATTCAAAGATCCTTCTTGTGGAAATATGGAAACATGACTTGCAAATATAATTAATTACCTAAAAATTTGTGTACATTTAAAATTAGTAATGCTCCATCTTTTTAAACATGGACCATCTTTGGATGAACAGTGCCAGTAGATTCTTTGATTCTTTTTAGTGGGATCATGCTGAAGAATTAGCAGCAAGTGTCCTCCCTTTTTAGTTTTGTAAAAGACTGATTTAACCTTTAAAAGCAACAATTTAGTCAATTCAGTGACATTGTGTGGCTGAGATTTTGTTTTCTGTTTGGTAGCTTTGCCAGATACCTGAAAGAGTTATGTTACTTATAGCTCCATATCACAAATTGGCCACAATGTGTACAACATACAACGCCCTCTATTCTTAGACCATTAATACAGATAAGCAAAACTCCACAATTAAATTGTACAGTACTGATAGTACCAGTAATTGTGATCCCATAAAGAGTTTTGTACAGACCTTTCCAGAATTTGTGTGAAAATGCAACTTCAGATTTTGGAGGGTGTAATCGGATATAACACGATGTAATGAATTACTGCTCCCTGCAGAACATCCTGTTCATTTTTTAATTAGCTACTACAAATATGGAAAAATATAATAAGAGTTTAGTTTGGATCACATTTTAGAAAACAACACGAGAAGCACTTTGCTATGAGGCTTTAAGTGGTGAATTTTAAAGGGTTTTTTATGTCTGAGCCCCTTGGTTGGTCCTAATGACAATAACTTTCATCAACTGTGATAATGGTTGTCACTTCTGCTAAACCAGAAACGTGTCGGTTAGTTTGTCCATTCTCCAATTCACAATAAATGCTGTTTTTCATTATACACTTTTAACCACACAACTTTATATGTTGTATAAACAATATTATAACATTTTCACTTTCAAGAAAAGTTTGGTGAATGAAAATCTCCGCTCACAGTTAAAAAGTAATGTGTTAAGGAGTTCTTATAGCCTCATGCGACCACACAATACCTTAAGTTTAAGTATACAAATTCTACTATCTCTATCTGGAGGGAAAAAGCAGATTCTGAGCATCCGTAGTTGTTGCAGTGAATCTAACAGTGGGGTCAAATCTTCTTAATTAGCATGGCCGGTCGCTTTTTGTCAATTACCTTTAACTACATAATGATACTTTGCAGCATCTTACTTATGTGTAGTGAGGTGCCTGTAAGTGCAAGGACATGTGGACTAAAAGAAGCTTCAGCTGAAGAGAATCGATTCTCTGATGGTGACAGATGAGCACTGTCGATAGTCTCATTGCTCTGTCTGTGACAGAACGTCAGAGGAAGAATCTGTCTCATTGTAGATAAAGCTCTGGTGCGCCTATCCCTAAATGCTACGTATGTTAGACGTTTCAGAAGCAAGCAGTGTGACTTCTGTGTTCATTCAGTAAGTTTCCCCATCATAAACGGATGAATGCAGAGCAGCAACAGCAGATTTAGAAGAACATTTCTTGCATTTTTCGAAGCTTGGAGAAGTCTTAAGGACAGTTGTTGGATTAGCTTTTGGTACATTTAAGCCATGTTTTGCTTTTGTATTTGACAGATTGGACTTTGTTTATTGGCGTTGTTGGAAGCTGGAATACTAGCTCTCAAGGCTTTTCTGCCCATCCAACGCTGTGTGATCTGAAGCCAAACACAATCACTCCCACCTTGTTTCCATGTCTGCTGCTGAGCAGCAATAATATGGCTCCAAGAGCAAATGTTTAATTATTTTAATTCAGACGCAAGAATAGAATATGAAGAGGGGCATTCACACTTTGTTTTGGAGGAAATAAGCAATGAGCATGTGTTTGTGTGTATGAGATAATGATATCCAATTAGAGTCTTTTTCTTTCTCTTTAGCAGTTGTTAGATTTTTTTCCCTCAGAAACACATTCTGAGAAGAGAACAGTTAACATATGCTGATCATCTGTGTTTTTTGTGTGTCTTTTTGCAGAATGCCAAGCCCTTCTCCTCCTCAGACAGCCTAGCGAAGGTTCAGGAGGTAGCAAGCTGGCTTTTGGAAATGAACCAGGATCTGCTGTCGGGGGGCAGCAGCAGCAGGCGGAGTCGAGGGCCGGGGGGTCCGGCAGTGCGAGGTAACGCCTCCTCCACGGCCCGGGCACCTCAGCAGGCAGCAGAGGAGGGTGATGAGGATGAGCACATGAACCGGGTAGTAGAGGAGGAAGAGCAGCTGCAGCAAAGGGTAAGGCCAATCAACAAATGATATTGTGGTCACATGGATGGATTTGATATGTAAACTATCGGTCTTTGAATTGGCAATCTGTAAGCCGAGGTCTGAAGATGTATACATCCAAACAAGTTACATAATGCCTGTGGTAACCAAGTAAGAACTTTTAGCCAAATTTTCATCCGTCCTTTCCTCTGAGGCATTGTTTTTCTTTGTGTGGCTCTTTACAGCCTGAGGCATCGCAGGTTGATGGCGAGAGAGAACCACCATGGGCGCCAAGTGAATCAGGAGCCAGCAACGGCCCTCAGGGAGACGAGGAAGGGGAGGAAGACGAAGAGGGCCCTCCAAACGAAGTGAACGGAGGAGAGAAAGGAGCTCGATGGATGTGGGGGCCAGAGCAGAGGCGGCTGCGAGGCCAGCCGCTGGGCGAGGAGGAGGAGGAGGAGGAAGAAGAGGAGGAGAACAACAACAGCAGCAGTCACCAAGAGGAGGAGGAGGCGGAGGAGAGGACAGAGGGAGGGGAGGAGCAGGGAAGGGAGGAAGAGGAGAGGGAAGAGGGCGAGGAGGAAGAGGAGGAGGACGAGGACGAGGAGGAGATGGACCAAGACAGCGATGACTTTGAACATTCGGCGGAGAGTGGGAGGGAGGAGGAAGAGGAGGAGGAAGGAGAAGGGGAGGAAGGGCTGCGGTCTCCCTCTCTCAGGAACAATGTGTCTGCCCCCAATAACAACCTGGACTCCGGTTGTACACACCAAAGCTCTTCCAACAAGAAGGTAAGCACAGCTGTTGTTTGTTGAACACTTTTGAATGGAACTACTGTACTTTTCTAGTTAAGAAATAGTCTCTGTGTAAACAGCTCACAGTGAGTTCTGGGAAACCTCCAGAGGTAACAGGGACACTGTTTCTGCAGGATAATTCTCTGTTAAATGTTGTGTTTCAATACAATGGGCACTACAGACATTTCCATTCACCTCCATTGTATTAGGGGGAATACAGGTAGCTCAGAGACAAATGCCTCAAAACTAGTAACTAAAATAAAACATGTGTATGGTTGGAGACCTCTATATGTAAGTGAGAAAATATGTAGTTTTTTGGTGAACTGATCCTTTAGGATACTTCTGCAACAGGTACAGCAGTTGTATAAGTTTCTCACAGGTAGTGTTTGGTTATTATCATATCACTGCTATGAAAACACTATTGCACTGCACTCTCATGTTTAAAACAGCAGCTCCCTCTTTTGGCATAATTGTGTTACTGCATGCAGTGTACCCTTAGAGAGGCAGTGGTCAAGATAGGATATTGAAACTACATTATATGTTTGAATAAGAACATACAGACAGATAATGAATTAGGATTAAAAACCTGAATTAGTTAGCGGATCAGCAGAGACAGCACTGCGACTGGGACTTAAACACAGGCCAGGACTGAAGAGCATTAAGACTGGAGAAAGGGTGAAAGATTTATAGTTTTCTTCCCAACCTATCCAGTCTATCTATTAAAATTCCCACCTGATCCTGTCACTTTCTTTCCCAATCTTTTGTCATTCCTGAGTGAATTTTCACTGTTACAGAACTTCCAAATTCCTGGTTTAGTCTTAGTATAGGAGCGAATGTTTGTTGGGAGTGATCTCTTCCAGGGTGACTGTGCCCCTATCCACAGCTCCTGAGTGTTGAAGCTTTCTTTGCATCTTATTTTGCCAGTTTAATGACATGTCAGGACTGTTTTGTTATGTCCGCACATTATGAAATTATTATAGCTTAACGGCCTCCTTGTGAATACTTAATTTACGTGTAGAATGTACAGAACCCTATTTTAGGAAATGTTAACATTTCAAACACGCTCAGGCCTCACCGATTGACATCGCTGACATGATGAGTCACCATTGTGGCTGGTGACGAATAGCGCTTGTTGTTCAAAAGACACGTGAGAGCGATTGTCAGATCTTTCCTCAGTAACTAAATTAATTTGCCTGGTTCAAAAGGCTCTGATGCAGCACAGCAGCAGTGTTTGGATGTTGATGCTGGTGTCTCATTTCAGTGATGACTGATGGCATGACTGTTTGTTGAGTGTGTTTCATTGGCCTTCAGAACACCTGTATTTAAAAGGAGGAAGTAGACTTGGCAAGACATTTTCTAGGAGCTAGGGGTGATATCCATAATTTGCTGTGCTTGTTATGCACAGACATCAATTTTGACGAGAGAAAACCAATAAATCAAATATTGGCTTATTATGGATGTGTCATATCTGTTTATATTTAGACCAAACGATTCCTTTGTTTATAATAGCCTGTTGTAGCACGAGTTGTTAAAGTATCAGGATCACTTCTACAGATGGAGTTGTGAGTCTGTTAAGAATAAAAACCCATCAGTTACATTTCTGTTATGTATAAGAATCCAAATCTGTAGCAACATCAACCCCCCATAATCCAGTATTTGACAATTTTTCATTTGTATTTTGTATAATTTAGCAATACGCAAGTGAACAATGTTTTATAACATTCGATTGTATTGTATATTCTCCTTCATGCACCAGAGACTACATAGAGGACAGCAGAGATAATACGCCCATCTCATCAGACAGTAATGACTAAAGCTGTGACAGGTTTGTCATCAGCAGTGTAGTCTCATGACCAGTATGCTGCTCTCTACACACCCTTCTAACAAAAAGGAAGCTGTACAGCAATTAAGTTCAACTATTGTTGTTGTTGAAAAGTATTTGTCTCTTTTAACTTGCACAGTTATTATGTCATACATGTACAACTGGAGACTTGAGTCTCAGTATAGATTAATGTTATGTGTGTCTGAGCCTTTGATGGAGATATTGCCCTTGCTCTTGTTGGCCTAAATATAGCAAATAGTCTGAGTTTGCTCCTGTGTGCCTCTCACCATCTAACACAGCTGTCAGATATGTTTGTCAGGGTCTTAGTTGCTAGTGTGCCAGCTGGCTTTGATGTTGAATGTACACATTTTGTTCAGCTGTGGGTCTTGTATGCTTGGAATTAGGAGTGGTGTAGAAAGAGTTGATTGACATCTATTGACAGCTCAAGTGAGAAGTGTAAAACGTACGTTAATGAAACCCCTGTAACATTTGACTGTTTAAGTGCAATGGATATTATTTTAAATTCTGTCTTTCTTGCCACTTAGTTCCACATTAACTGGATATTGTGAGACACATAAAGACTGTATCTTAAGAAACATACACACGTACTTTTACTATTAGATTTGTCCTCTGATTCCAGTAAGAGAGCGATTGTCAGATCTTTCCTCAGTAACTAAATTAATGTGCCTGGTTCAAAAGGCTCTGATGCAGCACAGCAGCAGTGTTTGGATGTTGATGCTGGTGTCTCATTTCAGTGATGACTGATGGCGTGACTGTTAAGTGTGTTTCGCTGGCCTTCAGAACACCTGTATTTAAAAGGAGGAAGAAGATGTTTTCTAGAAGCTAGGGATGGTTTTCATAATTAGCTGTGTTTGTCATGCTCCACATAGATTTTTTTTTTTAGTGAAAAACAATAAATCAAAGGGGTAGCCCTCAATATAGTCTTATTATGGATATGTTATATCTGTTTATTTAGGCCAAAAGATTTGTTTGTTTGTAATGCACAAGTATCAATCTATGTGTACAAATTACTTTTGAGGCTACTTCTACAGCACTTAATAGAAAATATGCCACAATCACAACCCAAGATGACATTACAAATGTCCAAAACCTAATAATATACTTAGTTTGCAATAATGTGCAACAGAGAAAAACAGAAAATCCTCCCAAATGATAAACTGGAACCTTGACTACTTGTTGCAGCTCTAACGAAAAGCTGAATAGCCTTTGTTGGATGATCATAGACACCTTGAAGAACGAAACAACTTTAAGAAGTCCACAGTACAATATAGTGAATGCGCTGACTTTATGTAGCATCTACAATTACTAATAGAAAGCTTGGTCATATAAAAACTGAATAGCTCTCATTGAAAGTCAGTATATTGATATAAATAACAAAAGCAGTCATTTGTGCTGTGTGTAATTTTACTTGTTACTTAGATTTATTACTCAGGGTGACCAGTGGATCTTGTGTCCTTAATCATTGTCCATTGATCAATAAGCTGCTCTTGCAGATGAAAGCCTGAATATTCCAAAACATGAGTCCTAGCAGCTGATGATGAGTTGATCAAGTGAACAAATGATTTGGCCTGTTATTATACTTGAATTTGAAACTGTCACCGTCACAGCCTTGAAAATTTAAGTCATCTATGTTCTATCTTTTCACTTAAACCTTATTAGTTTGGTGAGTAAATAAGTAAGAAAAACTTGATGTATATGTATTTATACTTTTCAAGACCAGGGTTAAAAAGTGCTGAACATTAGTAGTCATGTTAAATGGATTACTCTCAGGTAGATAGCGTAGCAAACTATGATATGTGCATTTGGACAGCTGCAGTGTGCATGTGTCAAACAAGGGGCAACTGGGTTGTAGTAGAGGATCAGTACCCATGTTTGGACCAAGAATGTGTCGGTCTCTGTGGGGTTATGTGATATGGCCTCGCATTAAATACAAGGTAGAAGTTTACAAACACAAACTTACCTGTGTAAATGTTTAAAGTAGAAACAGCACTGTAAAAATGTGTAGTGTGAATGATGATGATCAGCCTTCTGTGCGTGTCTTAGCATGTCCCTAGTAAGGACAGATTGTGTTCCCAGGCTGCAGGTGCTCTGGGCTCAGGTCACCAGAATTAGACGCTTCATCTCCTCTTCTTACTTGACACTCTTGTCTTTTGACCCCATGCCAACGGGCTGACGCTCAAGGCCATTCTCATCATTTAACCTTTTAAATTCTTAAACGGCTTCATTAATCAATATTTAAGCCGTGCATCCCTGAAGGCTTAATGTGCAAGCATATTTCTGAGTTCAGTCAAAACTTTCATTCACTTTTTGAGCAGATACCTTTCTGTTCAGCGGTACTAAAAAGGTCATGCAACACATGGCCTTCGTGTGATGATGGCATTGACAGTATATATAAAATGTTGAAGGACAGGATATATGGTGTTGGGTTAACATGAGGCTTGTAGCGGCTGGGCTGAAGCAGGTGTTGATATCTAAATACTGCGCCTTATACATTAGTCCCTGGGAAGGCATGTTATGTGACATTAGCGGGTGGAATAAAATGTTAAAGGCTGTTTAAGGTTGTTACATGTTGAAACTGGAGTAAGTGTTTCATTAAAATTGTTAATAAGCCCACCCCTAAAGAAAATCACCTCCACTTCTTAAATGGTTTGAGATTTAAAAACAATAAGAAACAATGATTCTAATGTTTTTAATTTGAAGTATTTATAACACCACATACTGTTATTTAATGTTCAGTGGGGAAAACGTTGTGTAGTACAGAATCTAAAGGTCTGAAGTGAGCAAACATACAGGCCTTTAAAACAGGAGCTCTGTGAGAACCCCCAGGAACAGTGACCACTACTGTAACTACTTGGATTTGAAACCCTTATTACTGCTCAGCTTCACAGACAAAACAGCAAGCAAGCTTGAAACTAACATTTAAGCTGCTTTTTCTTTTGTTGGACTGTAGAAAAATTAGGAATTTTATCATTGTATTCCAATATTTTCCATTTGTATAACTCGTGCAGCATGCAGTTATGGTTTCCAAACCATAACCAAATCTTCAAGTCTTAAAATCTAATTAACTTATATTTAACTGTCATAGTTTTTTTTTTTAAATATGTGATAAGAATAGACAGGAACATAGTATACCCATTTTAGGATCCCTACAGTATACTGCTGCCTGTCCATCTTAGAA